CCGCCAGCTGAAGCTCGAATCCCGCCTCAGCAACACACCCAGCGATTCCGGCGCCTCCTCGGCCGGTGATCCCACGGACGATGGCACAAGCGTGCTAAGCGCCACGACCAGCACAATTAGGAAGGCGATAAGACAGAGTAGCTCCGCTTATGCGGGCAGCTCTGAGGCGGACATTGCGGAGCACCAGCAGCGGCGTCACAAGGAGCTGCTCGATATCTTTCGCAGTCACTCGGAACCGTTGTACAGCTCCTTCACACCGTTCACTCTGCCGCCAGCTCTGATGGCCAGCAGTATGCCACCCTTGCCCATTTTCAAGGAGCAATTCAAATCGGAGCTGCTGTTCCCGTTTCCAGCTACCAGTCCGGCGGAGGAGGAGCCTATTGATTTGTCACTCCGATCGCGAACGGATGCTGTGAGTCCCGTGGCGAACAGTTCCGACAGTCCACTCAGTGAATCAGCCAACCTGCCATCCGCCTCATCCTCGTCGACGTTTGCACGCAAGCCCACGCCCCTAGACCTGACCCTGGTACGTTCGCAGACGCTCACAGGTTAAGGACCCACACACACACACACACACATAGCCAGGAAGTTGAGGACTTGTGATTACCCGGGAATTCAACAGAGTGCCATGGAAGCCAACACATATTAAGTTGGGCAGTTCGACGCTGTGGCGCAGTTACTCTGTAATCCCACTTGGTTATTAGCAAAAGATTTGATATTGGTGCCAGTGAAAGTATGTACAAATAAATTGTTTTTAGCTCAATTACAGCACGTAGGCATGATTTGAAATACTCGTAAACACATCTAAATATTAATAATGTTTAGCCAAATTTATAAATTGACTGTCATTTAATTGTGTTTTTATATTAATTTATTTAAGTATAAATTTCATTTTAATTTGCATGTTGTTTATCATAATAGACACTCTGTTTGTTTTTTACTTTTAAATAATTTATTTCATAGACATCTAAGTTATGCAAACACAATGTAAAAGGCAGGAAGAAAAAATAATAATAATAATAAAAAAAAAAACAAAACAATTAAGAAAATCATATATCTAACAGGTTTATTTCTTTTATCTGTTATTAACAGCTGAGAGCTGTATGTTATCAACATTATGTTATCAAGAGTACTTTTTTCGGTATATGTATTATCTGATATCCTAAAAAGCGCTTAATATTGAAATTGTTTTATTTTTGCCATAAGAGCTAGCCCCAGTATTACCCGCATCTGGTTTGGCATTAAGAGTTGCATCGAATCGACACATGAACAGACTTAACATGACCATCTACAGCAAATTGTTTAATATATTTGCGATTCAACTGTCACATGACCCGTGCTTATGTGTATATCCATCACAATCCTTGGAAGACAGCAAACTGAGCGAATGTTACGATGCCTTATTCATTACGTAACCCGGTTGACATATTTCCAAATGTCAGCTATGTGGATATTGACTACATAAATGTAATTATGACAATCCTGCGGACACATGTCAACAGAGTCGACAAAACAAATGACTTTAGCAACAAACTGACACAAATCCAATGCCAATGAGAAGGAAATTAAGCTACATAGCCCCAAAGGGTTATTTGAAAGAAAGTATTTTATCATAAAAAGTATGTCAATATATAGTACATAAATATATATCTATACATATATGTATTTTTCAGAGGCTAAAATGGAATACAAGCTAAATAAATGAAAACGAACAATCAAATGACTTAAGCAACGAACTGAAAGTGAAATCATCAAAAGCATTGACTGCCTAGAGTTAAGCACATATTTATACATGTTTCCCATTGGCTTAGCCACAAGTTAAATACACACACTTACACACACACACACACTCACACACGCACACACACAAATCAAAGACAAATTTAAGCATTCACACATTCATCGATTTGCTGGCTTTGTCTATGTAGAAACACGCCCCCCGAGAGTATCGACGACAAAGTGAGATACCAAAAGCCGAACATAATCCACGACACACGCACAATTAGCAGCGGCCAAACAGAAGCAACAGCAGCGACAACAAATACATAACGTACAAACAGACTATAGTCTGTCTGGGTCCGGAGTGGTTCCGTCCTTAACCTGCCTTTAAGATGCATTTATGCATTCAAGCAAAGCGAATGTGAGCGAGTCGGCCGAGGTGTGCGTGTGCAGAAGATGCCTGTTGGAGATACTTTCGCAATGATTTTATTGATGTCGCTGATTGTGATCAACAATTGTTCGAAGTGGAAGATTTGGCGAATGTACAGACATCGCGCTAAAGGCTAGAACTGATGCAGTTTGATAAAGTATGAACAACATTGTAAATTTAATCGATTTTTTAAAACCGCCTAAGATAATCGTGGCAATTGTAAAAAAAAATGCTCAAATCTAGATACAGGGTATGTTCAGGTCAAGCCGTCTTTTCGTTTTTTTCTTCGTTAAGTATTAGCCGGCAAACGCCTGCGTCACTTATGTGCTCTTTATTGGCTCTGATAATCCACCCCACTTTTCTTTGCCCCGACATTTTTGAGGCCAATTCCCTCTTACACTCACACACGCGCTTCTATCTGTATCTGTTAGTTCATATGACTCAGGTACATCGCGGTCTGTGCGCGTGCGCGGCAGACAAGCAGAGATGGATTGCCGTCAGGGAGTCTGACCGTCAGTTTCTAGTTTCACAGATCCAAGAAGGAGGCTCTGGGCGATCTGAGGCGTGCTTAAAATTCAATTGAATATTGAATTATTGCATTGAATTTCATTGTTTGTAAATGCTGGGGCCAGCTTTTATTGTAAACTGATTTCTTTTTCAGTCATAGATTTATTTATTTATTTCGTTTTTATTGTACGCTCCAAGTTCAACAGTCGTAAATCGTAACAAAATATATTTGTATTGTATTACATAAGTAGATCTTTCTTTGGGTGGTCTTTTGACGTAGGTTTGGGAAAAGCCGTTAAAAGGATAATGCTAATATGCATAGCTTTCCTGGATTAAAATATTTAGTTTAACCTATTTGGCTAACTGTTAAGAACTACCAAATAAATCAAACAGAATTCAACCAATATATATGTACATATCTTTTAGTTCTTAACCGCGCTCGGTGAGCAACAGCAAAACGCTTTCCGAATTGCGCCGGTGAAATCGCTAAAAGATCAACAAACAAACGTTGTAACAAGAGTTCAGAGTTGTCAATAAAAATTAATTGCAATTTTATTGCCACTGTTCGCAGCTCCTGCATACAAAGTATACAGAGAATCAATGGACTGCAGTCAATAAGGTACGCGTGCTTTGAAATGTGCTTGGTAACACATGTACATACATATGTAATGGAGAATACATTAAATAAAATTTAAAAATACTACTGACCAACAAGTGCAAATACTGCAAATATATTGAGTGCTTTATCAGACCTAATAGTAACATTAATTCGTTTTTTTATAATTCATTTTTTTTGGTAAACGTTTCAATAAGGGTCTACAAAAGTCAGCATGTTCAAAACCGGATCCCATACATGAAAACATGCATGGAGATGTAGGCATGTACACACACGTCTTCTCCAGAGAGAACAAACAGTGAAGTGACCTGATTTCGGGAGGAAACATCAAAACAAAGAAACGCAACAACTTAAATCAATTCAGTTTCGAACGCTGAGTCAAGCGATTACCGTCGCCTCCTGCGTGCTTTCAAATTTGCGGCACGTGCGTCGTGCCGACTGCCGAAACAGCTGTTGTGAGCATTAAAAATGTTTCCTACAATTGTATAACTGTATGCCAATCGATATTTTTCGGGCACTCATAAGTATGCAATATTAGCTACGGCGATAGCTATCGATAGATTTTACATTAAGATATTAGCGATTGTAGCCAATACTTTGAGCAAGTTGGCAACTCGGATTTGTTTGCTTGAGGCAACAACACGATTTATAAATTAATTAATAACTTAAAAAGCAATGTCCAATAATGTATCCGCTTAGCTCACAAAAACGATCCTGGACTTTCGCAAACGAGGGTCAGTTGCAAGCATTCCGGGTGGAGCAAAACACCAAGTACATAGAGGAACATGAGACTGAAGCACCATCGTCGGGCAGCCTCGAAAACTTCTTTCTGACGCCGGCTGAGGAGCGACTGCTGCTCAAACAGTATGAAATTTATTTGGTTGACTTTTGCCGTCGTTTCGATCCTCCAATGCCAAAATGCGTAATTGGAACTGCATTTCATTACTTCAAGCGTTTTTACTTAAACAATACGCCCATGGACTATCATCCCAAGGAAATATTGTGAGATTGACATTTGTAAATACATGTGTTTAAAGAATAACCAATTATTTTCGTTTATAGAGCTACATGTGTGTTTGTTGCCTGCAAGGTGGAGGAATTTAATGTGTCAATCAACCAGTTCGTAAACAACATAAAAGGTGATCGCAACAAAGCCACCGACATTGTGCTCTCGAATGAGCTACTGTTAATTGGCCAACTAAACTATTACCTCACTATACACAACCCGTTCCGCCCGATTGAGGGTTTTCTAATAGATATCAAGGCATGAAACTCATTCTGTTTATAATTTAACTTATTTTTGACTAACACCTTCATTAAATTCACCTACAGACTCGCAGCAATATGCAAAATCCAGATCGTTTGCGTCCGCAAATAGATAGTTTTATCGATTCAACGTTCTTCACGGATGCCTGCCTGCTGCACACTCCTTCGCAAATTGGCCTGGCTGCAGTGCTGCATGCGGCCAGTAAGGAGCAGGAGAATCTGGATAGTTATGTCACAGACTTGCTCTTTGTGTCTGCGCGAGAGAAGCTCCCGGGTCTAATTGATGCAGTGCGCAGTAAGTAATGTTGATATGCATGTGTACGCACGTATAAAACCATTTCTACTTTGCAGAAATACGTATGCTGGTCAAAAACTATCAGCCGCCTGATCGCGAAAAGGTAAAGGCCATTGAAAAAAAATTGGACAAGTGTCGCAATCAAAATAACAATCCCGACAGCGAACTGTTAGTAACATTATCTGCATTTTTCACATTTCATATATACAGAGATCACATTTCAATTGCAGATATAAGGAGCGTTTGCGTCGTTTATACACCGATGAGGATGACATGCCCGCCGAGGATGCTTCTTTTCATATAGCCGATGTCAGTTCGGATACCTCCGCCATGAATATTAGCCAATAAAACTTGTTAATCTACAGTTATTATCAGTAAAATTGTATACGTTTGAATAAATTTTTAACAAAATAATTTAAGCACTTCATTTAATTTGAAAATATAATGGCTGCCTTAGCGGATATGACTAATGCCATCGGATGTGATAAGATTGCAATGTACAATTAGCCAAATCATATATATTAATATTAGGTCGCAGTTTACCCGAGTAAAACTCACTTTGTAACAAAAAAATGTTGTAGTTAATCTTACATAGGATAAGTCTCATATTGGCCATAATGATTCAAGATATTGCACACGAATTTTCTTCTTTCTTCTTCTTCTCGTTCTCGATTGCAAGTTGCTTATTATTATATTTAATTTCCTTATTAAGAGTCGACACTTTATCCTCCAAGACGTTTATCTTTTCTTCACAGGTCTTAATTTTAACATCTTTAATTTCGTCCTTCATCTACAATAATAAATATATGTTTTCAACTTCATTATTTACACTACAAAGTAACTGCACTTACCAACTGTTCGGCTGTTCGGGCCTTTTCCAAATCTGCTAAGAGCTTATTACGCTCTTCCACCAAATATTTGAACAATAAATAAATAATGAAACATATTCCAGCAGTAATCAAAGGTCCCAAAGTTAGCATTTCGAAGCACGACAACTGTAAACCAACCCTACGCTAAACTGACTCACTCTGGCGTATGCAACGATAATGTTATCTATAGGTCACATCTAAAATTACACCATTAAAACTTAAAACACACTTTTATTAAAATTAAGATGCCGGAAAAGAGGTAATTGTTATTATTTAAATTTGAGTTAAACATTAAAAACCGTTGTTATGTATTGCTTAAACTTACTAAACTTATGATAAAATATTTAAATTGATCATATATATAAGTGTTATCGATCTATCGATTTCCAGCTATGACATTCTCTAGAAAAAGCTACAAATTCAAATATTGGATAACGTTGTCGTTCTTTAATGAAAAAACTAATGTCACCCTAGGACAGACCTCCTTTCCCACAATTACATTAATCATAACATTTGAGTTTTGGGTGATTTTTGTTCTCCTTAGCTCCAATATATGATCTTGCCTTAATTTCTCCATTGAACTTTCATAATGAAGAATGTGCAGTTTCAATTTGTTCTCCAAGGCGACATATTTCAACTAAAATAATAAATCCAGAAGTAAACAGGCCCGTGCGCTTTAAACAAAATGAACATACTGACTGTTTTTTCTCTTTAGACTCTTCAACAACTATTGTCAAGTTATTTAGTTCGTTCTTAAAAAACATGAATGCTTAACATATTGCAAATAGTGTTATAAACAACAGTAATAACGGCAGGTTGCTCATCACAGATACGCCTACGGTTGCCAATGGGCTTATATCGATGAGAATAAATTAAAAACTTACGGAAACTACTTTGCGATAAGAATTAAAGTAGCAAAATTTTAAATCAATTTGATCATTTTTATCGTTTTGACATAATGCCAGTCTCTAAAATCTGTGACACATTTCAACGAGTTGGCATGTCCGATTTGATCACTACAAAATAAAACTTCTTGCTCCCAAAATGAGCCTTGACACCAGTCAGCATTTTGGTACACTTCTTATGATGTGTTGCAATACTTCTTATTGGGACTATGTGAATTTATTTGTTGTAACTGACTCACTCGAGCCTATACAACGATAATGTTATCTACAGGTCACAAGTAAAACTACTCCATTAAAACTTAAAACGCAATTTTATTAAAATTAAGAAGCCCAATAAGAAATAATTTTTATTATTTAAATTTGAGAACTTAAACAAAGTTTTTAATTCATTGCTTGAAGTTACTAATCTAATGATAAAATGTTTTAATTCATCATGCATATGAGTGTTTTCGATCTATCGATTTCCAACTACGACATTCTTATTGGATAACGCTGTGATTCTGATTTGATCACCCTAGAACAGACCACCCTTTCCTATATTAACATTAACATTTATGTTAACCTTAACATTTGTTTTTTGGGTCTGTGTTGTTCTCCTTTGCTCGACAATTAGATCCTGTCTTTTTCTCTCCATAGAACTTTCATATTTAAAAATGTGCAGTTTCAATTTATTCTCCAAAGCGACATCTTTCAACTACAATAATAAATACAAAATTAAACAAGCTCGTGGGCTTTACAAAAAATTAACCTACCGACTGTTCTTTATCTTTTGACTTTTCTACAACTTTTGTCAAATTATTAAGTTCATTCTTCCAAATCATGAATGCCAAATATATGGCAAATAGTATTATACACAACACAAATAACTGCAGGTTGTCCATTTTATATTTCACCAATTAATCAAAAACCCAAAACTCACTATTATGGACTAATGGTAATCTCATACGAATCACAGATACGCCTACGGTTATCAATGGGGCTATCGATAAGCATCAACAAAAAACTTACGGAAACAACGTTGCGATATGAATTAGTGTAACAAAATTGAAAAGCAATTGGATCATTTTTATCGATTTGAAATAATGCCAGTCTCTAGGATCTGTGACACATTTCAACGAGTTGGCATGTCCGATTTGATCACAACAAAATAAAACTTATTGCTCACAAAATGAGCGTTGCCACAACTCAGTGTATAAATGAATTTCCGAGTAACTAAAAAATTTGTATCTGAACACAATGTGTGTGTGGCAAGCTTTTTTGAAACTAATATTTTTATACTCGATTTCCCATATTTGCATTTGTTATTTGTTTATTGGCTGCGCAGGGCACCAACTAAATTTAAGTAAAAACACAAGCTATAAAATCTTTATTGCATATATACACGAACGAAGAATGCAACAGAAAGGTCAAAGGTCAGCCAAAGAGATTGCAGTGTAGACTGACTCCGAAGAATGACTATTTAGCTCCTAGCTCCTTGGCTGAATTGTCTATTTTACTGAAAGGTGATTTGCAATAATTCCATAATTTTCCAATAGTTCCTTTGTTTTCGTTTTCCATTTGGATTTCCATATTATGAATTAGCTGATCTTTGTGTGCTATCTCCGACGTAAGCTGTTTTTCTTTTTCCTCCATATGCTTATGATATTTAAGAAAGTTAAGTTTTACTTCTTCTTTTCTGATATCATCTCTCAACTGCAATAATGAATTCGTTTTATGTTTACAATCAACGCTACAAAAATTACTCGCCTTACCTTTTGTTCATTTTCTCTGCGCCATTCAAGCTCATCTCTTAATTTATCACGATCTTTCGTAAAATTAAAAAATACTAAGTATAGTACATAACATAATACACACAACAAAATAAGCTCTAGACCCATTTTTAACACGCTAGCTGTTTTATTCGCACTGACTCACAGCTGAGTGCTCGCGATAAGGATTATCTGTAGAGTACATGTTTAACAAGTCTCGTTACCTCATTTATTAGTGATAGTAAACCAATTTGTACCAGATACCAATTATAGACTTCTTTCAGTATAAAAACAATATATATATTAAAAAAACTCTCAACTCAAGTTGTAAAGGAGAAAATCAAACTGTTTTAAGTATTGATATCGATATATCGATTGAAAATATGACATTCTCTGCGAAAGGTCACACAAAAACGTATTTGAACGTTAAGAAATATAAATAAAAATAACCAGATGAACTTGGGTCAATAAGACAATAAATTGTGTATATGCTATTTACATTTCAAATAGAAAATGCTGCTTTATAGCTGCAGGGTACAATCGATTTTTGAATACAAAATATATTTGTTGCGGGACGAATTAAGTTATCGATTGTTTAGTATTAAGTATATTCTGAAAGTATGTATTTTTGCCCTGTGAATGTACGGGCACATTGTATTTGGCTTGTTGCCGCCATCACTTTAATGTTAAGCTCATTATTGTCGTGAGTTAGAAGGCCGTAGGAGGGAAGACTGCGGTAAGATTCTGAGTAACATGGCCAGGGGCCAGGCGTAAACCTTGCAGTGTTCAAATTGCAACTCCACCTTCGTTTGGCACGCGACAACATTTAAAAAAAAAAACAGAAAGAACTGCTATCTTCGGCACCACGCATACTAAATACCCTTGCAGACAAATGGTTTACGATTTTGCAAATATGTGAAGAGATTTTTAGACCCCACAATTGCCGAATTTGGCTATTTGTTGGAAAACAAAGCTGTTCCCCACAAAAACTAATTTTTGAATTAAAGTCATAGGTTTCTTGCTAGTAGTAGTTTGATGATGGCTTAACCGTGTGGAGTATCGTAGAACTAGTGAATATCGAACTTTTTATACGCTGAACCCATTAAAAATGTGTAAAATGGGTATAATGTATTTGTGCAAATGTATGTAACAGGCAGAAGGAAGCATCTCCGACCCCATAGTGTATATATATTCTGGATCAGCATCAGTAGCCGAGTCGATCTAGCCATGTCCGTCTATCTGTCCGTCCGTCCGTCCGTGTGTATGAACGCAAGGATCTCAGAACCTATAAGAGCTAGAGAATTGAAATTTTAGCAGAAGGTCCTCTTAGTGCTCGCGCAGATCGAGTTTGTTTCCGATATTCGATAACTTGTCCCGTTTCCAAGTAATCGATAAAAATCGATATCGAAATCTTGTTTTTTGAGCAATCTTGGTAAATAATAAGAGCTAGAGTCACCAAACTTGACATTTAGCTTCTAGAATAGTATATCAAGTATCTTTCATTTTATACCTATCGCCAACTCCCCGCAACCACCGCAAAGCTAAAAATCAAGTTAATAATCCAACTTGTATTGCCCACTAATTTAAGCCACAATTTGTATGCAATCGACTTTTTGAGAATACACTAATATTCTATAGTACAATAAGATGTACTGTCGAAAATTTCATTAGGAGCGGTTAAGAAACACAAAAGTTATGTGCGCACGTGTTAGCAGCAGCTAGCGCAAATCCCAAGAATTTCTGTATACATGTACACACTCACATTCATGCGCGTCGGCTTTGAAATCTATCAACAGCATTGCAATTGCGATTGTATTGTTTTCTGTATTGCTATTTTAATTGTTTTTTTCTCATTGATACTCAATTATTGGTGTGGCTGTTTAGTAGAGGCGGCGGCAAGTAGTGCAGTTTGTAGCAGGTTCGAACCCTACCGAGGGGGCTATTTTTCTTTTTTTTTTGAGTTGGTGTGGCCGTTGAAAAGCCTGCATGATCTGCGAGTTCGAACCCTGCCAAAAGAACTTATATTTTATTTATTTGTATTACTACTAAAGAAAACGAGCGCGTAGCGCGAGCTGCATATGGTGTTGAAATAAGAGGGTTCAGGGTATCCCCTAGTCGGGTCCAAGAAATTTTCTTTTGTTTAATTTATGACATACAAAAGCAATTGCCACAATTACAAAGATTTAAAGCTGTACAACATATTTACATATAGATAAAAAAAAGCACATCATGGGTATTGATCAAAGCATAAAATACATAGTAGTTTTTATTTTTAAAGCACAACATTTACATATGTAAGGATCAGATAAAGAACATAGACTCTGTAGCTAGTATGTGATAAAATGAATGATTTAAGCTATTATATGTACATGACTTTTCTTCTTCTTCCTTCTTCACGTACTCGATTGCAAGTTGCTCATTATTATGTTTAATTTCCTTATTAAGAGTCGACACTTTATCCTCCAAGACGTTTATCTTTTCTTCACAGGTCTTAATTTTAACATCTTTAATTTCGTCCTTCATCTACAATAATAAATATATGTTTTCAACTTCATTATTTACACTACAAAGTAACTGCACTTACCAACTGTTCGGCTGTTCGGGCCTTTTCCAAATCTGCTAAGAGCTTATTACGCTCTTCCACCAAATATTTGAACAATAAATAAATAATGAAACATATTCCAGCAGTAATCAAAGGTCCCAAAGTTAGCATTTCGAAGCACGACAACTGTAAACCAACCCTACGCTAAACTGACTCACTCTGGCGTATGCAACGATAATGTTATCTATAGGTCACATCTAAAATTACACCATTAAAACTTAAAACACACTTTTATTAAAATTAAGATGCCGGAAAAGAGGTAATTGTTATTATTTAAATTTGAGTTAAACATTAAAAACCGTTGTTATGTATTGCTTAAACTTACTAAACTTATGATAAAATATTTAAATTGATCATATATATAAGTGTTATCGATCTATCGATTTCCAGCTATGACATTCTCTAGAAAAAGCTACAAATTCAAATATTGGATAACGTTGTCGTTCTTTAATGAAAAAACTAATGTCACCCTAGGACAGACCTCCTTTCCCACAATTACATTAATCATAACATTTGAGTTTTGGGTGATTTTTGTTCTCCTTAGCTCCAATATATGATCTTGCCTTAATTTCTCCATTGAACTTTCATAATGAAGAATGTGCAGTTTCAATTTGTTCTCCAAGGCGACATATTTCAACTAAAATAATAAATCCAGAAGTAAACAGGCCCGTGCGCTTTAAACAAAATGAACATACTGACTGTTTTTTCTCTTTAGACTCTTCAACAACTATTGTCAAGTTATTTAGTTCGTTCTTAAAAAACATGAATGCTTAACATATTGCAAATAGTGTTATAAACAACAGTAATAACGGCAGGTTGCTCATCACAGATACGCCTACGGTTGCCAATGGGCTTATATCGATGAGAATAAATTAAAAACTTACGGAAACTACTTTGCGATAAGAATTAAAGTAGCAAAATTTTAAATCAATTTGATCATTTTTATCGTTTTGACATAATGCCAGTCTCTAAAATCTGTGACACATTTCAACGAGTTGGCATGTCCGATTTGATCACTACAAAATAAAACTTCTTGCTCCCAAAATGAGCCTTGACACCAGTCAGCATTTTGGTACACTTCTTATGATGTGTTGCAATACTTCTTATTGGGACTATGTGAATTTATTTGTTGTAACTGACTCACTCGAGCCTATACAACGATAATGTTATCTACAGGTCACAAGTAAAACTACTCCATTAAAACTTAAAACGCAATTTTATTAAAATTAAGAAGCCCAATAAGAAATAATTTTTATTATTTAAATTTGAGAACTTAAACAAAGTTTTTAATTCATTGCTTGAAGTTACTAATCTAATGATAAAATGTTTTAATTCATCATGCATATGAGTGTTTTCGATCTATCGATTTCCAACTACGACATTCTTATTGGATAACGCTGTGATTCTGATTTGATCACCCTAGAACAGACCACCCTTTCCTATATTAACATTAACATTTATGTTAACCTTAACATTTGTTTTTTGGGTCTGTGTTGTTCTCCTTTGCTCGACAATTAGATCCTGTCTTTTTCTCTCCATAGAACTTTCATATTTAAAAATGTGCAGTTTCAATTTATTCTCCAAAGCGACATCTTTCAACTACAATAATAAATACAAAATTAAACAAGCTCGTGGGCTTTACAAAAAATTAACCTACCGACTGTTCTTTATCTTTTGACTTTTCTACAACTTTTGTCAAATTATTAAGTTCATTCTTCCAAATCATGAATGCCAAATATATGGCAAATAGTATTATACACAACACAAATAACTGCAGGTTGTCCATTTTATATTTCACCAATTAATCAAAAACCCAAAACTCACTATTATGGACTAATGGTAATCTCATACGAATCACAGATACGCCTACGGTTATCAATGGGGCTATCGATAAGCATCAACAAAAAACTTACGGAAACAACGTTGCGATATGAATTAGTGTAACAAAATTGAAAAGCAATTGGATCATTTTTATCGATTTGAAATAATGCCAGTCTCTAGGATCTGTGACACATTTCAACGAGTTGGCATGTCCGATTTGATCACAACAAAATAAAACTTATTGCTCACAAAATGAGCGTTGCCACAACTCAGTGTATAAATGAATTTCCGAGTAACTAAAAAATTTGTATCTGAACACAATGTGTGTGTGGCAAGCTTTTTTGAAACTAATATTTTTATACTCGATTTCCCATATTTGCATTTGTTATTTGTTTATTGGCTGCGCAGGGCACCAACTAAATTTAAGTAAAAACACAAGCTATAAAATCTTTATTGCATATATACACGAACGAAGAATGCAACAGAAAGGTCAAAGGTCAGCCAAAGAGATTGCAGTGTAGACTGACTCCGAAGAATGACTATTTAGCTCCTAGCTCCTTGGCTGAATTGTCTATTTTACTGAAAGGTGATTTGCAATAATTCCATAATTTTCCAATAGTTCCTTTGTTTTCGTTTTCCATTTGGATTTCCATATTATGAATTAGCTGATCTTTGTGTGCTATCTCCGACGTAAGCTGTTTTTCTTTTTCCTCCATATGCTTATGATATTTAAGAAAGTTAAGTTTTACTTCTTCTTTTCTGATATCATCTCTCAACTGCAATAATGAATTCGTTTTATGTTTACAATCAACGCTACAAAAATTACTCGCCTTACCTTTTGTTCATTTTCTCTGCGCCATTCAAGCTCATCTCTTAATTTATCACGATCTTTCGTAAAATTAAAAAATACTAAGTATAGTACATAACATAATACACACAACAAAATAAGCTCTAGACCCATTTTTAACACGCTAGCTGTTTTATTCGCACTGACTCACAGCTGAGTGCTCGCGATAAGGATTATCTGTAGAGTACATGTTTAACAAGTCTCGTTACCTCATTTATTAGTGATAGTAAACCAATTTGTACCAGATACCAATTATAGACTTCTTTCAGTATAAAAACAATATATATATTAAAAAAACTCTCAACTCAAGTTGTAAAGGAGAAAATCAAACTGTTTTAAGTATTGATATCGATATATCGATTGAAAATATGACATTCTCTGCGAAAGGTCACACAAAAACGTATTTGAACGTTAAGAAATATAAATAAAAATAACCAGATGAACTTGGGTCAATAAGACAATAAATTGTGTATATGCTATTTACATTTCAAATAGAAAATGCTGCTTTATAGCTGCAGGGTACAATCGATTTTTGAATACAAAATATATTTGTTGCGGGACGAATTAAGTTATCGATTGTTTAGTATTAAGTATATTCTGAAAGTATGTATTTTTGCCCTGTGAATGTACGGGCACATTGTATTTGGCTTGTTGCCGCCATCACTTTAATGTTAAGCTCATTATTGTCGTGAGTTAGAAGGCCGTAGGAGGGAAGACTGCGGTAAGATTCTGAGTAACATGGCCAGGGGCCAGGCGTAAACCTTGCAGTGTTCAAATTGCAACTCCACCTTCGTTTGGCACGCGACAACATTTAAAAAAAAAAACAGAAAGAACTGCTATCTTCGGCACCACGCATACTAAATACCCTTGCAGACAAATGGTTTACGATTTTGCAAATATGTGAAGAGATTTTTAGACCCCACAATTGCCGAATTTGGCTATTTGTTGGAAAACAAAGCTGTTCCCCACAAAAACTAATTTTTGAATTAAAGTCATAGGTTTCTTGCTAGTAGTAGTTTGATGATGGCTTAACCGTGTGGAGTATCGTAGAACTAGTGAATATCGAACTTTTTATACGCTGAACCCATTAAAAATGTGTAAAATGGGTATAATGTATTTGTGCAAATGTATGTAACAGGCAGAAGGAAGCATCTCCGACCCCATAGTGTATATATATTCTGGATCAGCATCAGTAGCCGAGTCGATCTAGCCATGTCCGTCTATCTGTCCGTCCGTCCGTCCGTGTGTATGAACGCAAGGATCTCAGAACCTATAAGAGCTAGAGAATTGAAATTTTAGCAGAAGGTCCTCTTAGTGCTCGCGCAGATCGAGTTTGTTTCCGATATTCGATAACTTGTCCCGTTTCCAAGTAATCGATAAAAATCGATATCGAAATCTTGTTTTTTGAGCAATCTTGGTAAATAATAAGAGCTAGAGTCACCAAACTTGACATTTAGCTTCTAGAATAGTATATCAAGTATCTTTCATTTTATACCTATCGCCAACTCCCCGCAACCACCGCAAAGCTAAAAATCAAGTTAATAATCCAACTTGTATTGCCCACTAATTTAAGCCACAATTTGTATGCAATCGACTTTTTGAGAATACACTAATATTCTATAGTACAATAAGATGTACTGTCGAAAATTTCATTAGGAGCGGTTAAGAAACACAAAAGTTATGTGCGCACGTGTTAGCAGCAGCTAGCGCAAATACCAAGAATTTCTGTATACATGTACACACTCACATTCATGCGCGTCGGCTTTGAATTCTATCAACAGCATTGCAATTGCGATTGTATGGTTTTCTGTGCTGCTATTTTAATTGTTTTCTTATTTTTTAAAGAACGGTACACTTGCCCTGAAATTATTACCTCTTGCTCTATTCGCCCTATTCTCTTTATTACTCAATGGTATATGATGTTGACCCGCCGTATGCGTAACCCTTTGATTTAAATGGCGTGGCCTGCTCGCATTCGAGTGTGGCATTATTGTCCCTTTTCTTTGCACTGAGTTTCCTATGTCCTCATCATCACGCAGAAACTTTTGAAGATCAAGACGGACGACGAAAAAAACAAATGGGTTTTCGTGCGCACTGTTGTTGTTTTGCGAGTGATTTGTTGTTGCTTCCTATAGTAAACGAGCTTTATTTTTGAGTGGGATTTTGCGTACCAACCCGATCTACCTCTCGGGATTTTTAAAACGGTAAAAAAAGCTCGGAGTGAGCCTTCAGCTCTGTCTCTTTATTACTCAACTAGCGGGTATAACCCGGCCTTGCCCGTGGCACGTCTGTTATAAAATCAATGTTTTCAAAAAGCTTTGAAAATGATTTTGAAACTGATCGGACGAGAATCAAACAACTTTTATGCAAATCGGACAAAACTTAAAATTTACCAAAAAAATCTTGGAAATGCATTTTCCATCGAAGGAGTTTAGATTTTGCGAAAAATGTGAAACACGTCTCAAATGATTTTTCTTATAGATCTTTGGAAATAAATTTGAACACAAAACGTCATCCAACAAATCTTCGACCCCCATTTGCACCAAGGAGGGATGGATTTTTCAAAAAGTGTGAAACACCCCTCAAATGAATTTGAACATAGATCTTTGAAAATGATTTTTGGGCCGATCGGATGGTAAACAAAAAACTTTCATACAACCGTGTTCCGCCAATTTACCACTGTTGCGGGTGGAATTTTCCAAATCGCTGAAATACGTACTTATTAAGTTCTTATAAAGAGCTTTAAAAATAAGTTTGAAGCAAATCGGACACAACTTAAAACGCCGCCCAAAAAATCTTTAAATCGCATTCCCCCCGAAGAAGTTTGAATTCTGCGAAAAGTGAGAAACACGTCTCAAATGATTTTTCATATAGATCACTGGAAATGAATTTGACCGTGAAACGTCACCCACCAAATCTGTGGCCTCCATTTCCACCAAGGAGGAATGGGTTTTCCGAAAAGTGCGAAACACCCCTCAAATGAATTTGAACCAAGAACTTTGAAAATAAGTTTGGGGCCGATCGGATGGTAAACAAAAAAGTTACATACAAACGTTTTTCGCGATTTTTGCACACTTGCGGGTGGAATTTCCCGAAACCCCGTCTTAACGTGCACCTACATCACATAAGGTAACTACAGTGAAAATTTCAGCTTCCTAGCTCTTAAGGTTTGGGCTGTGCGTTGATCACCAATCAGTCAGTCAGTCAGTCAGTCAGGACAAACAGTTTTATATATAGAGATTACTCAATGGGTCACATCAAGCACTTTGTATTTGTTTTACAAGTAACAGCTGGAGTAATTACACAGCTCACCGAATATATAATCTTGAATATTTGCTTATAAATATAAAATATACCTTAAACATATTCTTTTAAAATTATTTTATTTATATTATGCGTTTTTTTTTTTGTACATATACATATATATTTTTAATTATTTTTATATGGTTTAAAAATCTGTTTTAGCCGCTTCTTACACTTGCCCAAAAATATGTTAGGTTCCAACCCGCATTAATTTGTAGCTTCGAGTGTTATGTGTAGGAATTATTTTCGTTTATATGTCAACCTAGAATTAATTTTGTCTGAGCAAAACTTGGCATTTATAAGTTTTACTACAACAACATCGGACCACTGTATTATATAGCTGACATAGGAACGATCGATCAAAAGTAGGTTATTGTATGGCAAATATTCTGTTATCCAAAATATTTTCATCAAACTCAGCATTGACGAGCTTCAATATTCTCACATATCAGCAAAACCATAAGGCAAGGGTATTAAATCTTCGGCGTGCCGAGGGTATTCTTACTTTCTCTTATTTTTTTGAGCTCTTGACCCACAGCTTATCGCTTATCAGTTACTTAGCTGCTAGAGAGCTTTCAATTAATCCACATATTTCAGTCAATTGTCGTGCGTGTTGATTGTCGGTTGCACATTCGCAGTTTAAACAAAATGAAATCTGTTTTGTTTCCATATGTGCTATACTTAAGCCTAATGCTCATCCTAGGTGAAACACAGGCCAATGAGGTATTTAATTGAAGTTTACGTGAAGTGCGGTAAATAATCGTGTTTTTCTTAATCTTCTGTGGCAATTAGAATAGCAGAGGAAGAATGTGAAGAGCACACCTATAAGGCTGTGAGACCTTTGTTAAAGTATATTCATCAGATGAAGGAGGAAATTGAAAACAATAACAACAAAATTGAAGGCAAAGACAAGGAAATCAAGCAACTGCAGGAAAAGCTGAACCAACGTAATGATTTGGTCATCGAATTCTACAAACAGAGTATCAAAGAGCTAACGAACAACGTTTTATCAATAAAACAGCAAATGAGTAAACTCAATTCCAATGCCTTGAAAATCCAGGACTATGAAGAGCAGCTGGAGAAACAAAAGAAGTCAATTGATCAACAGGCACAACAAATATCCCAACTCAAAAACGAAATCAACATTTGTGCGAAATCAACCGGCGAATCAGCCCGTTTACGGCGAATGCACCGACTTTGCTGATGCTCCGGGTATTCATAAGTATAACCCGGATCAAGAAGAACCATTCGATGTACTTTGTAATAGTGCGACAGCAGTTCCTGGCTGGACGGTTATCCAGCAGCGAATCAACGGTAAGGAGGATTTCTACAGGAATTGGACCACATACCGTGACGGTTTCGGTGCCTTCGATGGAGACTTCTTCCTGGGTCTGGAGACGATTCATCGCTTGACGCGCGCCCAGCCTCATGAGCTCTACATACATATGGAAGGATTTGATGGTGTCATCAAATACAGAAGATACGATCAATTTGCCATTTCTGGCGAGGAGGACCAATACACCTTGATCACCTTGGGTAAATCTGAGGGCAGTGCAAAATATGAATTCTTGCTACGCCACAAAGATCATAAATTCAGCACATACGATCGTGACAATGACACATGGAATTCTGGAAACTGCGCAAACCATCGCGTACGTGATGGTGGTATTGATCGCCCCAGCTTTGTCAAAGCAATTTAAATGCAATTAATTTGTATATCCTTTTTTTTTTTAGCAATTTAAATGGCAGATACTATGGTCATAAGGTGCACGCATGTGACGCCATATATTGGGATGGTCACAACTCCTTGAAGGCAGTCAAAATGCTTATACGCCCCAAATTCAATGAAAAATAAAATAATCAAGTTAGACGTTCTAGTCGGGAGCTCCCGACTAGGGGATACCCTGAACCCTCTTATTCCAACACCAAATGCAACTCGCGCTACGCGCTCGTTTGCGTAGTAATTAATGTAAATAAAAAATAAGTTCCCTTGGCAGGGCTTGAACTCGCAACTGACCGCATTACTTGCTGCCGCCTCTACGCAAAAAATTTTTTTCCTCGGCAGGGTTCGAACTCGTAACTGACCACACCAAAAATTGAGTCTTGATGAGAAAAAAACGAATTAAAATAGCATGTCAGAATTGCAATGCTGTTGATAGAATTCAAAGCAGACGCGCATGAATGTGTGTGTGTACATGTATACAGAAATTCTTGGAATTTGCGGTTGCTGCATTTTCTTTCGTATTTCTTAACCGAACTTGATGAACTTTTCAGTAGTAGATCTTATTGTACTATTAGATATTCGTGTATTCTCAAAATTACAATTGCATTTAAATTGTGGCTTAATTAGATAGACAATATAAGTTGGCTTACTAACATGATTTATAGCTTTGCGGTGGTAGCGGGGTGGTGGCGATAGCTATAAAATGAAAGACACTTGATACATATACTATTCTAGAAGCTACATGTTAAGTTTGGTGACTCTATCTCGCTCGTATTATTTACCAAAATTGCTCAAAAAACAGGATTTCGATATCGATTACTTGGAAACGAGGCAAGTTATCGACTATCGGAAACAAACTCTTTATGGGGTCGGCGATGCTTCCTTCTGCCTGTTACATACATTTGCACAAAAACGTTATAGCCTTTTTACCCATATCACTGGGTGCAGGGTATAAAATGGCTTCCAGCACCATATTAGCTCATAATAAAGTCGTATCCCACAAGCATTATGTCCAAGAACAAGGTAGCTCATATAATAATATATTTATAATATATATGTATATCATAACCTTCGGCTGCCACTATTAGCAGTCTTACTCTCTCTTGGCATAACAAAATGGTCGCAAGCAGTCATGAGGCTCACTCGCATCAAATACTCTTGATTCGATTATTTTGTAGTTTGACGTATCTATATATTGTATGGTTAGTGGTGATAGACAATTGAAAAATTGAACTTGACTATAAATTATCGATATATCGATTGAAAATATGACATTATCTAAAAAAGAAGCTTTCATTCCAACACATATTCGAATGAAAGCAGGAGAGTGCAATCGGTTTGTTACATATGAGATGTATTAGTACAATCGATATTGATAATTAGTAAGCAGCTGATTGATGCAGTTGGCAACGCCACAGCTGATAAACCTTAAAATAAGGTAGGATGAATGCTCTCAGAAAGTACCGCTATAGTTTTTTGGCTGGCGCATGCGCTGCCGGCGGCAGCTTCTTTGGAAAGTTGCCCAGTTTTCTCGATGCTCTGAACCTGCTGCAGCCAAATGCAATACAATCGGTCGCCGGCTTTGCGTATGTTGGTAAGCATTTCAAAGACATTTTAGAAATGCATAAATGTTTACTGGCAACTTGTTTAGAATTTGCGTTAGTCCAGCTGCTGCCGCTTGGTTTAATGCTCTGCTGTAATGTGTGCAATTTACGCTACTTTCTGAAGGCCTTGCAAATGACCCAACAGACATTGACAGCGACTGTCTTAACAGCCGCCTCCAACTACGTGTTATCAGTACGTCTGATTGGCTAATTAAATAAAATTCATGTATTATTTGATCCATTGCCGCATTTCTTTAAGTTCATTCTAGGTACGACCGTTTACCGGGAACCCCTGACTGCGCTATCCGGCGTGGGCATAGCTCTTATATTAGCCGGCTTGTGGTTCCTTTGCGATACAACGGACTCGAGAAAATCGTCGGTCGGACAAAGAACTGCAGCTAAACAAAAACAAATCTAGGCATTGTAAAATTTGGTCTTCCTAAATTATGAAAAAAGAAACCTCTACGTGGCTGCATTAACGGATCTGGAAGAATGTGATCAACTTCTATTGAAAATGGCATCTTTTCGTTAATAAATAACGTTTGTTACTTAAATAAGTTTCGTTTAATGTCACTATTTTGCATATAAATACATAATTTTTGTTTTCCATTTTTAATGCACATAAGTGGGGCATAATGTTTCTGCATTTTTTGTTTGTTTAATATACAGACTACATACAATATATGTATATGTTTATTAAATACGCGCGCTTGTTGGTTTGTAGAAAAACAAAATACATTTGTAAACAAAAATGGTAGTAAGAGCACAAACTATAAATATATTTGTTTATAGTAAATTACATAAGTTGCGTTTTCCTTTCAAATGTTCATCATCCATTCGCAATGTATTATATTAATTCATTAAATATAATTTGTATGTTTCAAAATTGTTATTTAATTGCTAAGACGTATAAATACTATTATTTTCTGTTTCCATCAATTTATTAACTTGAAAAGTAGTACGTACTTTTCCAAGCTCCTTTCTCCTAATTTTTCTGTTCGCTTTCAATTAGCAGCTGTTTGTCCAGTGCCCATGCACTTGTATTCTGCATTTGTTAATATTTTACTTTTGTTTCTTCTTCTTGCTTTTGGGTTTTAGAAACCCTATGCATGTGTGTGTGTTTTTGAACTTTCCTGTATGCTTGTATTGTTTAGTTTGAGTGGTTGCTTTTATAAGTGTTCTAAAAACTAGCTTGTTGTTTTGTTTTTATTAATTAATAATTAAATAAATCATAATTATATAGAAACATTTGATTGTATTTATAAAAAAAAAAAAAAAAACGCGCAGTTTTTTGTTTTCTTTTTGTTTCTATTTTTTGGGATCATTTTACGTTGCTGACTAACGGTAAATTGAACGTCAACGTGGCAACGCTGCTTGTATGCATAAGTGTGTGTGTGTGTGTGTGTGTGTGTGTGTACCGATGATGCGTAATGCGTTATGTGTGGTGTGTTTTGTGGTTGTGTGTGTGTGTGTGAGTGTAGGTGAGGAGCTTTTCATTTAATACATGTGCCACGGCCAAACAGCTGCGCCGTCGCTTTTAGACGATTTTAACTGCTTAGTTTTTATTCTCCAAGCCCAGCGGCATGCGTTGCTGTTGTGTTTGGCGCTGATTTATGTAGCCACCGCTACCGTTGCCCGGGCCACCAGCGCCGGTGTTGCGCCCGCGATCGCCCATCGGCCGCCCAAAGGATCCATTGCCGTTGCGCTGATTGCCTCCACGCTGTCCTCGATAGGAACCGCCGCCTGAGGAGTCATAGCGTGACTCCTTATTGTAGACACCACCACCGCCGCCGCCGCCGCCATTTTGATAGTAGTTGTTGCCGCCACCGCCGCTGCCGCCTCCAGTCGACTCATTGTTACGGAAATAGACGCCGCTGTTGCGTCCATTCTGCTGGGCTGAGGAATTGCCATATTGTCGTGTGCGATAGTTGCCTCCGCCATTGCGTCCACGATCGTCGCCACCTCCGCCGCCATTGCGCCGCTGCTGATAGTTACCGGAATTGCGACGCATTGGGTTGCCGTTGTCCTGCTGCGAGGAGTTCCAGTGGTTGTTGCCGCTGTCGTTCTCATTGACATAGCCACCACGGCCGCTGCTGTTGTCACGGGGCGTGGCCCACTCCTGCTTGTTACTGTTGCTACTATTGCTGCCATTTGAGGCAGCGCTGCTCATGGCGTTCATTTCGCTGCTCCATTTGTTGGTTGTCGACGTAGGCGTTGTCTGCTCTGCTAGAGCCGAGGACTGCGTCTTGAGAACATTGGTCAACGCAGCTGTGGCCGCTGCATTGGTATCATTGACGCCACCGCGTCCATGCCATTCATTGGCGTCCACATCACCGACAGGCTGCTGCGGTTGTTGTGGTTGCGGTTGCTGCAGCGGATGCTGCTGGGGTTGAGGTTCCTCCAGCTGTTGCTTTTGCTGCTGTGGCTTCAGTCCTAGTTGCTGTTGCAGTTGCTGCTCATAGCTGACCACAGTTGCGTCATAGGGAAACACAGCAGTCACATCGCCCGGCTGCATGCCAATACTTTGGGGGGGTGGTGGCTGCTGCTGCTGCTGCGGCGGCGGCTGCTGGAGCTGTTGTTGTTGCTGCTGCTGTGGCGGCAAACGTGTCATAATTAGCATTGGCTGCTGCTGCTGGCGCTGCTGTTCGTGTATCAGCACAGGCGAGAAGAGTTGTTGTTGTTGCTGCTGCTGCTGTGGTGGTGGTGGCTGCGGCGGCGGCTGCTGCAAGGACGGGAAGGACTGATTGGTAAAGGTCAGCGTTGTAATGGTCTGCGGTTCATCGACATGATTTTGCTGCTGCTGCTGTTGCTGCTGCTGCTCAAAGACTAGGCCCTGCACCGGTAACTGCTGCGGCGGTGGTGCCTGCTGCTGCTGTTGCGGCAAAACATCCGGTGCATCCAATTCGCTGTCCTGCAGAAAGTGGAAGCTGCCGGTGCCCAGCACCTCGGCCAGCGGGCGCAGCTGCTGCATAAACTGCTGTTGCTGCTGGGGTGTGGGTGCCTGTAGAGCTGCAGCTGGCTGCGGTGGCTGCAGCGGCGGCTGCTTGAAGTAATTATGCTCCACAGCGCGCACTGTGGTGGGGCCAAAGTGCTGCTGCGGCGGCTGCTGCTGCTGCTGTTGTAGTGGTTGTTGTTGTTGCTGCTGCTGTTGTTGTTGCTGCTGCTGTTGTTGTTGCTGCTGCTGTTGTTGTTGTGGAGGCACCGATGACGCAGCGGCAACGCCCGCCTGGGGCGGCTGCGCCTGTGGCACACCGTGCAAAGCCTGGAGATTCACGGGGCTACTTAGCAGTTGATGCGGATGCTGAGCCGGAGGCGGCACATGCGCTGCCTGTGGCGGCGCAGATGCATACATCACGTGGACAGGCGTTGTGTTGCCTGCTGCTGCAGTCGCTGGAGCAGCATTATAAACGCCCGCCTGCTGCTGTTGCTGCTGCACCAGCATCTGCTGCTGTTGCTGCTGATCGACAACGGGCGCACGTTGATGCTGCGGCTCAAGCATTAGATGGGCACGTTCCGGCTGATGCAGTTCAGGCATCGCAGTACCCGCCTCGGCAGTGGCCAGCTTGTCTAAGCCCTCTTCCAGTGAGTTATGCGCCGATGGCTCCGATATAAGCGCCTCCTGGTCAGCTGCAATGACACCCACATCGTTAAGCAGCGTCTCGCCCTCGCCACTAACAGCGCCGCTGTCTGCGTAGTTGCCCTGCACAGGCAAATCCGTCATAGGAATCAAATAGTACTTGTCCAAATAGCCGCTATCCTGAATCTGTTGGAAGAGCGCACGCAGTTTCTCGAAAGTCATCTCACCGAACGGCTTGGCTCGAGCATTGATGGTCATGGCAAAGAGCTCGGCTGCCTTTTGAGCGGTCGCTAAGAAGCTGATGTCCTCCGCAGTCTCCGGGCGGCGCGTTTGCACCTCCATGCAGCTATATTACAAAACATAATCAAATGTACGATCTGTTTGTAATTATCCTCAGTTTGAACGTTTCACAAAATAAAAAGCACACACTTAACGTATGTCTTCAATAGCCAAAGATTTTTAAAGACATCTTTAAAATTTCATATTGTGTGTTAATTGAGAATACAATAAAATGGGCGTGCCCTGCTATTTTAGTATTTAAGACAAAACTGTGTTTTCTTTCAATAACCTAATTGTCTCCTATGTGATATAGAAGTCTGAAATATTGGTGAAATGAGTGAAATGAGCCTAGGAATTAGCTGTTGTTTAGCATAATTGAATAAATAAAAGAAGTCTCTTTTACAAACTGCAGTAATATGATGCTGTGGTCATATGCAAGACTCTCCGACGCCAAGATTTATAAGTATAGCTTAAATCGGACATCAGACATTATCGGACTCTATCGACTTGAATATTATAATTTGTCCTCAAAAACATTTACAATTATGGGCTGTATTGTCTCCTATGTCTTACGGAATTCAGGTTAAAATTATAATAGGTCAGCTATCGTCATAAAATCCCTTATTCTAATTTTTGAGTATTCAAAACTGATAGATATCTTTTTCTTGAAACACTTACAACTTGTCGAGCGCATCCAAATCGCTAATCTCCAGCTTGCAGGCGCCATTGTCTCCGGCCAAGAAATCATTACGCACCTGCTCATCGTTAAAGCAAGTGAGAACGTTTTGTATGACCAGGAGATCACGAATCTTGGCATTCTCCGCCAGAGTTTTAGCTTGGTTGTCCTGCACATTGAATATTAAATGTTAATAGACTACAGAGGATTTCCGTTTTGTTCTTGTTGCTTACCTTGCGTGCCTGCTTCTTCTGCTCCTTCTCGGCCTCCTTAAACATCAACTGCGTTTGCTTGGAAAAGTCTCGAGCAAATTCAAGAGTTGCCAGAACCGAATCGTATTTAGCCACGGCCGCTGCTTGGTCGGCGCTCAGCTCCTTACCGCCAGCTTGGATGGCGCGATACGATTCCAATTTAGTCTATGTGCATGACAAAAAGTGTAACGTGAGTCACGGTTTGAACAAAATAGCATTTGTTTCGCCTTATATTCGCATATTTTCATGGTGAAATGTCAAAAACAAACAACCAAATGCAAAATGGAACCAATAGGAAAACAATTGTTAAAAAAATGTCGGGGCACATGGTAGTGGGGTTGCCAGATCGAGCACTGGCCCCAACAAATGTCTCATTTTAGCAAATTATCCGCGCACAAATACACTTTTAGGAGGCAATCTAAATTTAAACTAAATTTGCATATTAAATTTGTGCACAATTTATTTAAAACAATCGGTTCACATGCATAAACGGACAAAACAATTAAAATTAGTCTGGCAACACTGTGATATAGCAAACATGGCGTCGCGAAAAATCTGCGAGCACAAGGGGGAAAACACAGCACGACCGATAAAAAAAAAACGAAACGAAACAAAGCGGGCGACGAACGAAAATAAAAAATGGTGGGCAATGCCTGCAGTGCAAATCCAAACTTCCAAATTATATTTTTTACCAATTATGCACTTACCTTGCGCTTCTCCAAATTGCGAATCTTATGCTCAATGGTGACCAGGATTTGCTTCATTGGATTGTACGGCTCGGCGGCTGCGGCCGCAGCGGCAGCCGACAGTTTCAGCACTTTGGCATTGACATTATTGTTGTT